CGGCCCCCGGGCCGGGGGTGCCCCGCAGGGTGGGCGCCGACGGCGGAGCCTCGGTCCCCGGGCGCCTGAGCGGGCGCGGCGGCGGCCGAGGTCCGGCCGTGACCCCGCTCTGCGCGGCTGGGCCCTTGCTGCCGTGCCGCTCCGTGGGGCGTCCGCGGGACTCAGGGTGGAGGCGAGGCAGCTGGGCCCGCAGGCTGCCTGCCCCGCCTGGGAAGGCGGAGGCCGCCGGGACCGTCCCGAGCCGCATTTGCACAGCCCGGCTAAGAGCCTGCGCTGCGGAGTCTTCCCGAGGAAGGGGACGGTCCTGCGCTGCGGCGCTGGCGGGGGCTGGAGGTGCGGGTTCTTGCGTCCCGAGCCACGCCGAATGTTTCGCGTGGGGCCTGGCTGAGTCCCTGCTGACCCCTCCAGTTGCCCCAAGATGCCCTGAATTTTAAAGCCGCGCCGTCCCCTTTGCCACGAATCCCCTATTCTCTTGGCCAACTCTCCTCATCTTTATGACTCGGTACAGGTGTGGGTTGAGTCCCTCATCCGAGCACGCTTTGGCTCAGGGTCAGAGTGGCCCTGGCCCTGCTCTGGAGGTGGTCCGCACAGAGTCTGTGGCCCCACAGGCCGGGCTGTGTGCAGCTCCTGTGCTCCCCAGCACCGGTGCCCAGCCCTGCTGGCGCCTAGTGTCAGGGTCCTGCTCATAAAACGCGTTCCAGTTGCACAAGTAGTAGGTGCACACGTGCAGAGGGAAGTGGTTTTACAAGTGTTCTTCATTGATTTGGCAAGTGTTTGGTGTCCCTTGTGTGCCAAGTGGTGGGACCCCGCAGGGACCAGGACAGAACAGCCTGGAGCTGACGGCTGGGGGTGGGGTGGGTGGTGGGAAGCAGACAAGAAAGGACTGGGCAAGCGGTGGGGAGGGCACTGCATCTGGGGGGGCCTTGCTGAGCAAACAAGGGGCGGGGGAAGGCCTGGGGAGCAGGTCAGAGATGACGGGGCCCTGGACAGGCTGCCTCCAGGTGCTGTGTGCCCAGGGCCTGGCTGACTTGACTGCAGGACCCTCTGGCTGCCGTGCTGGCAGGGCAGGGGCCAGGAAGTCCATCTGGACAGGAGGTGGGCTGCTTCCTATCCAGCCCAGACAACAATCCTGAGAGGTAGGCACAGGTGAGGACAGGGAGGCTCAACAGAGGTGTGCCGGCACCTGTGAGGCCACACAACCTGGCTGATCCTGCAGTGCTTGGTGCCGTGGTGCGGGTGTGATGTGGGCAGTGGCCAGCGCCTTCTCTCAGGTCGCTCTATCTCCCTCACCATTCCCCCGTGTCCCCTGGCCCCTTGGGCCTGCTCTCCACTCCCCTGGCCTCTGCCCCTCACCACAAAGCGTCCCCAAAATCTGCGGGAGGAACCCAGGTGAGCCGGGAAGTTGAGGGTAGGGATGGGATTCGAGCCCAGGACCGTCTGCCTTGTCACGGCCCCCTGTACACGGGGCCTGGGCCCACGGGCTCTGCTGTGGCACAGAGCTTTCTGCAGGCAGAAGCCTTCTCCAGGCCCCACTGAAACACCCTTGGCCACCTTCCCTGGCCTACACTGCAGACCTAGAGCCCCCTCCCTGGTGGGGATCAAAGGGCCCCACGGGCCAGCGACCCTCTCAGTGAAGTCACTTGTCTTGCTGGCACCTGCCTGATGTGAGTAACCTCTCCCCTCATGGAACATCCACTTTGTGGGGGGCCACTGTGCCAAGTGAGACCCACATTTTAAAGATGAAGAAATGGAGGCTCGGAGAAGTGATGAAATAATACGTGATTTTAATAAATAGATGAAGTCATTCTAGGAGCTCAAGCCCCAAGAGACAGAATCCTGGGGTTCAGACTTCAGGGAGCTTGGCCAGAGGACACCGGGACTGGCTGTCGTCACATGCCCCGCATCAGGGGGTGAGTAGCTGCTGCTCCCGGACACAGAGACTGCCTCCCTTTCCCTGTCCTTTTGCCACTGCTCAAGTCTCCCTGTTCCTGGCCCCCTCCTTTTTCCCCCTCTCTGCTTGATCCTCCTCCCCATCTCTCCCCCTCTTCTAGACTTGGATCAAGGCCAAGGGCATCAACAGCCCAGGAAGGGTGAAGAGTCAGGTGTGGGGGGAAGGGCTGGCTGTGGGGACAGAGGGCACAGGTCCCTATCCGGTAGCTGGGGTCAGGGAGAGACATTAGCTGCCACTGAGGGGGGATCCCTGCTGGATCCCAGCTCTGACGTCTGCCCTCCTTCCAGATCTGTTCTGTGCTCCAGGCAGGCAGCAGGAGCCTCTGGCAGGGGACAGGTTTATCTGAGTCTCTGCAGCTCCCTCCTGTGTGCGGCCTGCTGGGGGGGGGGTGGAGCCAGAGGTGGCCAGGACAAGTCCTAGGGTCTGCAAAGAGCCCACTTGGGGGAGAAGAGTAAGATCTGCCCAGAACCCTGGGGGCTTTTCAGAGTCTGGAGGTTTGTAGGTTGTGGGTGTGTCAGAGTGGCACAGGGGTGGTTTCCTTCCTGTGCTCTGTGGGGTGTGGGGGGCCCCCCCGGAGGCTATTCAGGATGGAAAGGAAGACTAGAGAGTGGGCTTTCTGTCTGGGGGGGCTCCCCTTCCCCAGTCTCTTGGTTCTCTGGGCATCGCTGGTGACTCCAAAGGCCAGCTTTAGCTTGCGCAGTCCCTCCCGCCGCCCAGAATCCCAGAATGCCCCTCACCCCCACCCCCAATGGAATGACCCGCACTCTGGGGCCCACTGTAGACTGAGGCCGCCCTTACTCCTGGGGTGTGACTGTTGCGGGGAACAGGCTCTTCCTCCTGTCCTCCCCCGGACTGGGGTTCTCCCGTGGACCCGCAGAGCACCAAGTTGCCTGATGAGGCAGGCGGGATTGGAGGAATTGGGTGTCCCCGCAACCTGTTGCTGTGACACCCGCCCACTTGCATCTCCCTACTGTGTTGAGAGAGCCCCCCTCCCTGTACCCTGATGTCTGTGAGGCTGGAGGTGGGAGAAGAGCGTCCATACTCCCCCTTGCCCTCCGGGGGCGGGATCCTGGGGGGGGGAAGCAGAAAGACCAGAGAGCCCTCGGAGAACGGAGAATGAGAACTTTATGCGGAAGGGTGGGGCGCGGCTGCACACTCCAGGTCGCCGTCACCGCGGGAAGATGCTCCCCTCGCTCTCCTCCAGGATGGTCTCCACGCGCCTCCGCTGCGGGGGAGAGAGGCTGGCGCCAGGTGTGTGGGGTGGCGGGGGGGGCCCTCTCCGCCCCTTCCCGGGCTTGCCGGCACCTCCTGGCCGTCCAGCGGGTCCGGGATCCGCGTGGGCTTTAGCTGCGGCGGCAGAAATAGCTCGAGCCGGATGGCGGCGCGCGCGGACTTCTGCCGCTGGATGAGGAGCGAGATCTCCTCCTCCTGCGGGTGCCCGGGCTCGCTGAGCGGGCGCCGCGCACTGCCCCGGCCCTCCCTGGGCGCCCCAGTCTGTCCCCCTCCCTCTGCCACCTCTTTTCCCTGCCTCCGCCCGCAGGGGACCTGGCGGGTCTGGCCTTCGGGTCGGGACCCCGGCCTCACCCGCATGCGGGTGTAGCGCAGCCGCAGGGCGCGGACTCTCCCGCGGGCCTCCGCTGCCTTGAGGACTCCGAGGAGCCGGTTCTGGCGCTCGGCCGGCAGCTCGAGCGACTGGGCCCACGCGCGCGGGTCGGGCATGCGGTCCCGCAGCTCCGCCGACTCGCGCGGGAAGATGGAGGCGGCTGCGCCCACGTCCTCTAGCAGGTCGCCGAAGAGCAGGTGGCGGTGGCGCTGCGCGGGGAGCATAGCCGCCAACCCCTCCAGCGTCAGGGTCCAGCCAGGCTTGGGGGGCTCCGCCGCGGGCGCCCCCTTGGCGCGCTCCTTCCCGGGCCTTGCGCCTGGCGCGCCTTTCCCGGCGCGCTCCCGCGGGCCCTTGCGCCCGGCCTCTTTCGCCGGCGGCTGCATCCTTACGCCCTGCGGAGGGAAGAGCGCGTCCCGTCGGTGCCTGAGAGGGCCCTGGGCCCTGCCCGGCCCGACCCCACCGCACACTCCAGCTCTGGCCCAGCTGGACTCCCGGAGTCTGGCCTCTGCTCGTTCTCCCAAGCGCATTCCTCCGCTGAGTGCCCGTCCCCAGCAGCTCAGCCTCGGTACTGCGTCCAGCTAGTTTTAGGAAATACCTCTCCTACCCTACGGCTGTTCTATTTGAACCGAGAAAACGCTGAGACCTCCTGCGTTGATCTCAGGCCCTACCCAGGGGTGGAGACCACGTAGGAGACGTCGCGGGGTCACCGGCCAGCCAGCGCCTTCCCACTCCACTGGAACCCCAGGGACTGGTCTGCTCTAAGCCGCCCTGCACCGGCCCGGGACCCTCAGCCTTAGTGTTAGGGACGGGGTGGAGGGCGTCGGCCTTCATTTTGTCCTGGGCAGAGGACCCAGGCCCTTGGGGAGACGCGTGTGGACATAACTGGGTCTGTGCATGTCTGTGTGAGTGGCACGTGTCCGTGGGAGGTCTTCGTAGCTAAGTCTGTGCGCGCACGTGTGTGGGGAGGCTCAGAGCCCAGGGGACAGCTGGCTTCATGCAGGGGAGTCCCCATCATCCTGGCGTGTCCCCTGCTGGGCCTAGATGGGGGGCAAAAGAAGGAAGAAGGGGGGGAAAAGGAAAGGAGCCCGAGGGTCCCAGCACAGCCCCCAGCCCAGCCGGCCCCAGCCTACAGCGTCCTCCCCATGTCCCGCCCCGCCCTGGCCCACGGACGGCCAGAGGCAGAGCCACGGTCCGAGCGTCTCCTGACGCCCCCTCCCCACCCTCAGCTCCAGCAGCAGAGGGCCCGTCCCCGCCCGTCGGTCCCCACACCCCATACTTGTGCCTTCTCTGGTGGGAATCCCTCAGCTGGGGCTCTCTGGGGCTTGTTGACGCTGTTGCCCGGCAACCAGGAGTCCCGCCGCTCCCTCCGCCCGGCGCGGGCGGGGTGGCCCTTCCGGAGGGACGTGGGCGGGTGGCAGGGGCGACATTGCGGGGACGCCCCGCAGGAGGGGCCCTTTCCAGCTGGGTAACGTGTTTTCCAGGCGGCCGCAGGCTTGCAGTTTGGGGGCTGCGGGCCCGCGTTCCTGGCCTGAGAGGTCTCCGGGCCAGTGTGGGCGGCGGGGCGCTCAGCTACGAGGGGACCTTCGCGGCCCAGGTCGTTCGCCTCTGCATCTGCAGTCACTGGTTCACAGAAAGGGGTAACCGGGGCCCCTCAACTCTTCCAGGGCAACTGTAGGGTCTCAGGGGTCCAGGTGTCCCCCTGGGTTTTACTGAACCCCAAGTCTCTGGATCTGGGGTCCTAGGTCTTGGATTTCTGAGATCTATTGTACATTCATTAACTTTATATTATTTTATAACTAACTCACTTCTCAGTTTATTAATTAATTCCACAATTTATCCAGGCATTAACTGGTGTGTTTTAGAATTCGTTAATGCAGCTGCTCATTCCATGGTTTCAGTTAGGCAGAAAGGAGCGTAAATCCATAATCCGTTAGTGTGCGCGTTACTTCCAGAGCGTGCACACGAGTCTCCCCTTCGTTCACAGACGTGCCTGCGGGGGTCCCACGCGGTGCCTCTGGGAGTTTAGAGCCTGAGCACCTGAGAGTGGACCAGCCCCGTGTACGGGATGGAGTCTCCGCTGAGGTTCTGGCCCTTCTGCAGGAGGATGTTGGCTGTTCCTGCTGTTTTTGGAAGCTCGCCCTGACCTCTCAGTGAGAGGGTAAACTGTGGCCCTGTGGCCCTGTGTCCAGAGCCTGCACCCCCATTCCGATAGCTAGGTGGAAAGGCTGTTCGTCTTTTCTAGCCCCCAGGCCTTTGCACAGCTGTTGTCTTGAAAGCCCTTCCTGAGCTGCTCGCCCCCCTCCTGCATTTGCCTTTAGCTTGTGGCCTGAGCTTCAGCACCAGCCTGGCTTGTTGAGGGTCCCTGGGCTCTGGGAAGCAGCAGTAAGGGCTTAGAGAGGCTCACCCAGCAGGCCACCTCCTCCAAGCAGCCTTCCAGGATACAGGCAACTCAGGCTGGGGCTGCCTCTGTGTTCCCACTGGGGTGAGTCCTTTGAGACCAGCACCCGGACCCTCCTCTCAGATTCCCCAGGTCCAGGCCAGGGAGTCACATGAGTAGGGGCTAGCTGGCTCCTGGTGGTGGGGTGGAGGTCACATAGGAAGTAGGGAATGTTCTGTTCTCCTGAAAGAAAGAATTTATAATCTTTCTGTTTTTGTAGGGTTGGAAAACTTGACACTCCACCTCCTAATCCCCGGCAAGGTGCCCCCAGGCCTACCCCACTTGCATCCCTAATCCTGCCACTTCTCCACACTTGTTCCAGCAACTGTGCTGGGCCCACCAGACCAGGGTCTCCCATCTGTTTCTGTCCTCAGGACTAAGGGCTAATGGAGATGCTGAGATCTAAAAGCATGTTTAGGCCGGGTGTGGTGGCTCACCCTATAATCCCAACACTCTGGGAGGCCGAGGCGGGAGGATCGCTTTTGGTCAGGAGTTCAAGACCAGCCTCAGCAAGAGTGAGAACCCGGCTCTACTAAAAATAGAAAAAACTAGCCGGGCATGGTGTCATGCACCTGTAGTCCCAGCTACTCGGGAGACTGAGGCAGGAGGATCGCTTGTGGCCATGAGTTTGCGGTTGCTGTGAGCTAGGCTGACACCATGGCACTCTTGCCTGGGCAACAGAGTGAGACTCTGTTTCAAAAAAAAAAGAAACTTCAAATTAATAAGCTTTATTAAGTAGATACAAAATTAAATTTAACATTATATTAAAAACTGTAACTCGGTTCTTTTGTCATTGTATATAAATTTTATACTGTTAAAGTGACAAGGACAAAGTAATTTGTTTTTTTATTTTTTATTTTTTTGTTTTATTGTTTTTCTTTTTTTAAGCCTACAGCACCCGGTATTCCCAGATATTTTGATGCAACTCGGAATTGTTAAAATTCTTTCAGTTTTTTAATAGCACAAATGGCTGAGGATGGCTTGGTGATTGAATTCCCCGGGGACAGCTGCTCTGAGTGGGGCTGCCCTGAGCCCAGCCCAGGGCGGGGGAGCCGCGGGGAGGGAGGGAGGAGGCAGTGTGCTCCCTGGGCCAGAGCTGCGTCTGTCTGAGGCTCTGAGTGTCTGGGTGAGAGTGAGGTGTGTTTGCCCTGTTAGTGGGCCTGGGCTGCCAGGTGTGCTCAAGTACAGAGGACCTCCAAGTACGGCCCATGTCCGGCTTTAACTGGAATTTGCAGACATGTGTTCTGTGTTATCATTCATGTGAACTTCATGTCTTGGGCTGTCCTGGGTATACCTGCATGTTGATTTGCCTATGACATGTGTGTTTAAGGTTGTCTTACTTCGACAACACATGCTGTCTCATATAACACATGTGCCCTGTGTCCCTTGCATGACACATATGTTCTGTGTCAGACCTGGCTCTGCCTTGGGCCCTCTGGAGGGGTCGTCCTGTCCACCTGGGCCACTTCCTCTGCACCACCAGACCCCTGTGTGGGAGCCCTTCAGGGTCTGGGGCTGGGCCCCTGCTAACCCCAGAGAGTGGGATCAGCATCTCTTCCTGGCCATCCACTGGCCAGGTGACCACGCCTGTCCTTCCATCTGAGACTGTGCCTGTGAGGGGCCAGGTATCCGCCTCCTGCTGGTCCCTGTGCTGGCGCCATTGGACACACTCGCAGGGGTTGCTGGCTGCGACCGGAGCTCACAGGCCCAGCCTGGTGCAGCATTGTTGAGTCATGGCCCAGGCTGCAGGGCTCCCAGGGCTGGGGGACGGTGGGCAGGGCAGGGGCGGCTTCTTGGAGGAGGTAGGATGGGAGCTGGCTGGGGGTGGGGGGAGGATCTCTGCAGGGGTCCAGGGTCTAGGCAGGAAGCGCAGAACAGGCACGAGGGAGGGAAGAGCAGGCCCAGGCCCACATGGGAAGGACACAGGTGTCATCCTGGCACATGCGTGGTCTTGGTTCTAGATATGTGTCGGGGCGGGATGACACGGAACACATAGGCTGCAGGAGGGAGAGTGTTCAGGAGTGGGGTGCCGAGGCCTGGCCCTGGACCCGGATTGTCTCCCACACAGGGATTGAGGCCTCTCTTGACCCCTGAAAGGCCAGGCAAGGCAGGGTTGGGGACGACCTTGGGCCGTGGCAGGTAGGTGGACCCTGGCAGAGGGACCAGGGTGGAAAGAGGTGGGGGGATAGGGAGCAAGGTCTGACCTCTTGCCTCCTCTTCCTCTCTCCGTCTTTCCCTCCCCCTGCTCCTTCCTCACTGCTCTCCCCTTCCTCCTTCTCCTATCCCAACCCCTATCTGCCCCCTCTCCAGAGGGGGAGGGGTCTGCAGCTGCAGGGGTGAGGCGCCCCTGTCTCCCACCCCGCCATGGCCTCTGACGCTGGCTCCTGGGCTGAAGCATCAGATGGGGCTCCTTTGTCCCCTTCCCCTAGGGCGTCTCTGCTCTGCCCACCCTCAGTGCCTATGGCGTCCCCTCCCCAGTGCGGATCTTGGGCGGGGAGGCAGTTGAAGGCTATTAGGAAATGAGGGTCTGTAGGCGGATGGGCAGGCGGGAGAGTCTGGCGTCCCCTGCTCAGAGCTCAGTGAGCCTGGCTGGGGGCAGCTACAGGAGTCGAGCCTGCCTGGGTTCCTGTCTCTCCTGGGCTCCCGAGGTCAGCAGAGTTGGGCCTTGAGTTTCGCATGTGGCATGTGTTTGTGCGTACATGTAGGAGTCAGGGCCTTGGTCTGTGTCTGCCTGTTCCCAAAGGCGTGCATGCACTCTCTCATGTCCACCTCTGTGCCTGCATGCAGCTCGGGGTGGGCACGTGTGTGGCCCATGTGTTTGTGCGTACCTGTGAGTGTACGTGCGTTTCTGAGTATGTACCTTTGTCTCTGTGCATTCACCCCTGTGCCTGTTTGGGCATCTCTGTGTGTGTTTGCCGGAACGTATGTCCCCATGTGTCCCTGAGTATCTCTGTGGACCTGCCCGTGTCTTCACACGTGTCCCTGAGTCCTGGTTGCAGTGACGATGCAGAGGTGAGTCCTGGGGGACAGGTTGGGATGCTGAGTCCTAGAGCATC